AAATTAAACTTCTATAGAATAATTAACTCTGTAGCTTGTTTTATTTAATTATTTAATATTTAATGGTGTTCCTTTGTTTAAAGCATTTGTGCATAAAGAGAGCTTAATCTCATTCCTGTAAAATAGGTATTTTGCCATACTGACTTTTCATCTCCAACCATTCATTTCGCAAATCTCAACTTAATGTTTTAGCATCTCACCACGTGCACTAACTGTTCAGAAATCTCATTTCAGTGCACAATGAAATACGTGTGGCAATGATACAAAAAAATAAGGAAATCAAAGAATAACAATAGAAATTTCCCCTGCCTTTCTAAAAACATTCTAGTAATGTAATTTTCCAGAATTTGGTGAAGAGACTATTAGTTTCCCTTCATATATCTCAAAGCATCTTAATTTTCAAAATGTATTTCCAACTTTTATTGACAATGTATATGTGAGAACCAATTTCTGGAGGGGAAATTTTAAACAATAGCTTCATCTGCCCTGATCTCTGTAAGTGTGTGTTGGATTCCTCCCCATGAAGTAAAGTACTTAAGCATTTATTCTCAGCAGATAAAGGTTAACTAAAATTATTTTTTGTACTCAATAACAAAGGATGAGATGGCAAATAATAGTGAATACTGGTTCATAAGAGCACAAGATGACCCTTATTTCATTGCCAGTTTCAGCAGAAAAAGCCTTGGATATACAGCTTATTCAATTTTGGGGAAATGGCAGCTTTGTCTTTGGGACACAATGCCTGAGGTGTTTTCCCATTTCTGTACATAGAACAGAAATTCCTTTTTCTTGACTTTTCACAAAACCCATGTAGGCAACTTGATTCTGTAAATACTCAGGGGTAAGCAAGCACTGTAAAGTATATCTTGCAATCTTTCTAATTTACAAGTAGATAATTTTCATCTTTATTTGTAGGGAGATGGTTGCCATTAGTACACAAATAGTCCTGAAATATTTTTCCATTTACTAGAATTGGTATATTTGAGAAATTCTGTGTAACTGGGACTGACTATATAGTTGGTGATGACTTTGCCTTTCCCTTAGGTGCCAATTGTTTCTTCCCTATTTGCTTTGTAGTATTCCAGCAACAATTCTGTTATAGGTGAAGTATGCTAACAAATATCCACACATAACTGGCCCACAGCTGTTTGCATGGTGAATCTCACCTCCCAGGCTCTGTTCTGTTTTCCACCTTTGCTTATAGAAGAGGCCAATGTTAAAAACAGTTATGTGAAATTGACTATAGGATAGAGTAATAAGAAACCAAGGTGCTTCCTGTCATGTACCTATGTTACCTAGGCAAGCGCTGGAGATAAAGTAATTCATCCTTGAGCAATGCATTAATATGCTTGTATTACAGCTGAGAAAGAAAATGTGTCCTCCTTGCCTTCCATTATACACTGTAGTCAGTGAACCCACAAGGCCAGAGGCAGCCAGACTTGTACAGGGATTTTTCAGAGGGCTCTTCTCCCACTGACTCCAGTCTCTCTTGCCACTGGCTTAAGTGCACAGACTTGAGCATTCTTCACAAGTGTCGCCCTTTCGTAGTTAAGTATACAAGAGGATTGTCCTTGGCCTTGGAAATTACAGAAATATCAGCTTGTTTCAAGTGAGTCATTCCTGGATCATGGTATTAATGGGGATGTATTACATTTGTTCTGAGGGAAGCTTCTATGTGAATTATGAGAGCTTTCCAGAGTGATTGTCAAAAAGAATGCACAGGTTCCCTTTTGACATTTCTTCCTCCACCTGTGTTTAGTTTATTCCAGTGTTTTCCACTGGGCATTTTTTCCCTTTCCCAATGTTGTTTTCTGAATGTGAGCTACTTCAGGTCTTTCTTTTCTTTGATTTATTCATTGATTTTTAACCTGCCCTCTCTCAGAAGGGAGCTGATCACCTCCAGTGTTGAAATAAGATTTTTCTGCTTCATATGTTAAGCTATCCAGGTGCCATCACAGCACTGACAGTGCTAAGTGCTATCTTATAAGAAGGGCTCCTTGATCACCCTGCAGATACCTAGAGTTCCTGTTCAGTCCCCTGATCTCCTTAACTGTGCTGTGCTAGGCAGGTATGAGCTGCATAAGGCATGGCTGGAAGGAGAAATGCTAGAGGATAACTTTTACCTTGCCTCATCAGATGTTCATATTTTGCAGAATGTATTTCTTTATAAATTAATATGCTCCTACATAAGTATCTGTATATCTTTAATTTTATCCCTTATATAAAATAGATTGCAAAGATATGTGGAGTATGTGTTTGTCTGACACAGATGTATGTGATTTGTAAAAAACTTGGAGACAGCTCCATGAGTCATCATATTTTGTCATCTCTCCATAGGGCTAAGAGAGGGATCGTGACTGCAACAAGTTTTATGATTTTTCCTAGGTCAACTAACAAAAATATACCACTCACTGACCCCAAGTAACCTTATATGTTGTGTTAACCTGTGGCATCTGCACACATGTACCATACCTCAGTCATTGTCTTTGTAGGACCACGCTTTCTTACATAATCAGAAAACAGTATTGTTTTACCCTATCTGCTGTTAGAAGAATTGAATATTTTCCCTGACCACTTACTTTTAGAATATTATGTATTGGTTAAGATTCAACTTCTTCAATCAACATTTAATACCCTGAATTTCATAAAATCACATGAAGGCACATTTTACATTCATATTTTGGTTTATTTCATCTTATTCTTTTAATATATATACATAATGTTATATGTCTATTAACATTATTTGAAACATTATTCGTATATATTTTGTAACTTAAGTGAAACAGACTAAGAAATAGTTATATGTCATGTGTAACTATATAAGTTATGATCCTTTGTGACTCTATTTTATGACAGTATATGACCCACAAATCTTGCAGATGTCCAGATAATCATATTAAAATGTTTTGCTTTGTTTTTAATCTTACTGAGTTTATTGGTACATTTTAGGTATACAGTACAGTCACAATTCATCATCGGGATCTTGTACCCTTACATGACAGATCTTGGTTCTCATTTTTCCCCGTACTCCTGCCCTCCCTTCACCCCCTCCACCCTCTGCTATTTACAAACACCTTTTTTCCATGTTTTCCTTTACTCATATTTTTTTTCCCTGATTTCCTTTACCCTACCCTTCCCACTTCCCCTATACCTTTAGCCCTTTTCTTCCTATTTCACATTATCAGTTATATAGTTTGGGTCTTGTTTACACTTCTAGTTTTTCACACCAGAGAAACTATTTGGCATTTACACATTATGTGTCTTATTTATTTCACTTAGGAGTATATCCTCTATATGTATCCATGTTCCTATGAATGATTCTAGTTTATCATTCTTTGTGGCTCAGTAGTATTCCACTTGGTAGAAAAAACACATCTTCTTTATCCAGTCCCCAACTGATGGGCAATTGGGCTGTTTCCAAGTTTTAGCTATTACAAACTGTGCTGCTATAAACATGGTCATGCATATATTACTGTGATATGATTCTTTTAATTCTCTTGGAAAGATACCCAGCAGAGGGATAGCTGGGTCTAATGGAACCTCTAATCCCAGTTCTTTTAGGTATCTCCATGTTGATTTCTATAGTATGCACTCCCACCAACGATGGAGAAGGGTTCCTTTCTCCCCACAACCCCACCAACATTTGTTATTCATTGATTTCTGGATAGCAGCCATTCTTTCTGGGGTGAGATAAAATCTCAGTGTTGTTTTCATCTGCATCTCTCAAATGACCAGTGATATTGAACATTTTTCCATATGATTATTTGCTGCTTTTACTTCTTTGTCTGAGAAATGTCTATTCATTTCAGATGCCCATTTTTTAATCTGGTCCTTATATTTGGGGACCTGAATGTTTTTTGTTTTTTGTTTTTTTGGGTTTTTTTTTTTTTAGTTCTTTGCATATTCTAGATAATAGTCCTTTTTCTGAAGAGCATCTGGTAAAAATTTTTCCGACATATTAGATGGTCTCTTAGCTCTATTGGTGGTTTCTTTTGTAGTGCAGAAGCTTTTTAATAAGATGAGATCCTAGTTGTTGATTCTTTCTGCTAGTTCCCATGCTACTGAAGATTTCTTCATAAAGTCTTTTCCTATGCCAGTGTCTTCGAGAGTTCTGCCTAACTTATCTTCCAGTAAGTTTAGAATCTATTTTAATATTTAGATCTTCAGTCCACTTGGATTTCAGTTTAGTGCATGGTGAAAGATAAGGGTCTAGTTTTAATCCGTGACAGGTTGAAACCCAGTTTTTCCAACACAACTTATTGAAGAGGCTATCTTTCCTCCAGTGAGGATGGTTGGCTCCTTTTTCAAAGATGAGATAGCTGAGTATGTCTGGAGTTATTTCTGCATCTTCCAGTCTATTCCACTGATCCTCGGGTCTTTTTCTTTCTCAATGCCATGCTGTTTTTATCACAGTGGCTCTGTAGTAGTTTCAAGTTGGTGATTGTGATGCTCTCTGTCATGTCTCTGTTGCCTAGAATTGCTTTTGCTCTTCTAGGTCTCTTCTGGGTCCAAATGAATTCTTGGATTATTTTCTCTAGTTCTGTGAGATATACTGTTGGAATTTCAATTGGGATTGCATTGACTCTGTTGTTTTGGTTTTTTTTCATAGGCACATTATATGACACATTAATTTGCTGAATGTTTGAATTCAAATACAGGGGAAATTAAGGCAATGGATCAGTCATTGAAAACTAAAAGTGAGACAAAGATATGAAAATACTACCCATAATATGACAGTTTTATTACAAATGTATGAGTCTGGCAGTGAGATCCATATCCTGTCATGATTGGCAGGAAGAGGAAGAGGGGACAGGGCTATGAGGAGTCCAGGAAAGTGTTTGTGAAATTCACTACAGAAGTGGGAAAAAGACACATCAGGATGAATCCACATAATTTGATGAATCATAGTGTTGGTTGAGATGGATGAAAGAGGTAATATGTATGATAATTTTCTGGCCTTTCTCCTTAGACATCTACTATATGCTTCTTTCTCCATGGAGATGAATAAAAACAGAAATTTTTTCAAGTTTTTGGACATACAATACCTCTTTTTCTTTGAAGTCGGCATTGGAATCATAGCCAATACTGTCCTGCTTCTCTTTTATGTCCTCATCTTTCTTCTAGAGCACAGATTCAAACCCATCAATTTAACCATTATCCATCTGTCCTTCATCCACATAATTATGCTGGTAACTGGGTGTTTGATAGCTTTAGACATTTTTGGATATCAAGACTTGGGGAATGACATTGCCTGTAAATCTGCTATCTATTTGAACAGGTTGATGAGGGACCTCTCCATCTGTACCACCTGCCTGCTGAGTGCCTTCCAGGCCATCACCCTCAGCCCCAGAAGCTCCTGTTTGGCAAAGTTCAAACAGAAATCTGTGCATCAGAGCTTGTATTGCTTTCTCTTTTTATGGGTCTTCAATATGCTCATCAGTAGTGATTTCTTAATCTCCACTATTGCCACCCCTAATGGGACTTCCCATAACCTTGTGATTGCCACTCAGTCCTGCTCTTTTTGGCCCATTAGTTACTTATTTAAGTATATCATTTTCTCCTTGGTGACTCTCCAGGATATGATCTTTATATCACTAATGGGGCTCTCAAGTGTGTACATGGTGATTCTTTTAAACAGGCACAAAAGGCAGTCCCAGTATCTTCACAGCACCAACTTGTCTCCAAAAGCATCCCCAGAACAAAGGGCCACTCAGACTATTTTGTTGCTCATGAGTGTCTTTGTTGTCATTTATTTTTTGGACTGTGTTATCAGCTCTTCATCTGGAAGCAGTCCCAGTCTTCACAGCACCAACTTGTCTCCAAAAGCATCCCCAGAACAAAGGGCCACTCAGACTATTTTGTTGCTCATGAGTGTCTTTGTTGTCATTTATTTTTTGGACTGTGTTATCAGCTCTTCATCTGGAGTATTCTGGAAATATAGCCAAATTTATTACTGTATCCTAATGCTGTTTAGCAATGGCTATGCCACAATCAGTTCTTTGGTGCTCATCAGTACTGAAAAACAAATGACCAAGTGCTCAACATCCATGTTTAGGAGGGCAGTTAATGTTTGTTCATTTCATCATGGTCTTCTCTAAAGAGGAGCAAATGTTTTGGATTTGTATTGGATCGTTGATGTATGTGGTATTATGCTTTTCTCTTTAAAAATATCCCTTTGTATATAAGGCTGACAAGAATATGGTAGATCATTTAACATTATAACAGAAGAAATATGAAGAGTATTTCTAATCATACATAAAGAACTAGAACAGTCAGCTGCTTTCACATTCTAAAGAATATGGTACATTATTACTTTTCCAGGAATAACCCCAGTTGCTAAGTAAAAACTAGCAGAATCCATTAAAAATCTACAGAAAAAACATTGTTGTGTTTATAGTTTTATTCATGCTGTAAGTGTGGATATGTATCAGTGTGCATGTTTTCATATACTGTATAAAGTTTATTTCATTTCAATTGTACCTTTCAAACATTATTAGAAAAAAAGGGAAAAGAGAACGTAAAACCTAGATACGCACTTTGATGACTTTAATGAATTATTAGATAGCATATTCATAATGTCTCTAAGTGACAAGAGAATACAAGTAACTTCATGAAAAATAATTGTTTCATAACACTCTCTATAGGGTTGGAAATTATAGCACTGAAAGTAAAATTACTATGGTCTTTTAATTACTGTTTTCTTTACTCACAATCATTATTTAATACTATCAGTATGTAACCAGAGAGGATAATAAGATTAATGATCTCTTCCCTTTCTTAATTTAAACACTCATATAAAAGTTACATTAGTACAACATAGACTTAAGAAATGATAGGTAGAATTGAACCTTCTTCATATCTATTTATTTGTTGTTTTGGAAACCTGACAGTCAATAATTGCAAACATTCTGGTATTATTTTCAATTTTATTGTGACTTCTTTATGAAATGTTGGTGTTGTTTTCATTTAGAAAAATCAAATTAAATTATTTAATCATTTTTGGGATAACAGGAAGTTAGGAATAGCAAAAATACACATCTGTCAAATTCAGAATTAATTTCAAAGTACTTTTTCTTAAGTCACACATGTGGAAATACTGAATAGTTTCTCTGGTGTGAAAAACTATAATGGTACATAAGATCCTAATGATATAATTGACCATGTAAAATAGGAAGAAAAGGGCTAAAGGTGTAGGGAAAGTGGGAAGGGTAGGGGAAAGGTAATAAGGGAAAAGAAAAATTTTGAGAAAATGAAAAAATGGAAAAAAAGGTGTTTGTAAATGGGGAGGGGAGGAGGGGGTGAAGGGAAGGCAGGGACAAAGGGAAAAATAAGAACCAAGACCTGTCAAATAAAGGTACAAGATCCCAATAATGCATGTAACTATACTGTATACCTAAAATGTACCAATAAACTCAATGAGAAAAAAAAAGAATGGCTGCTATCTAGAAATCAACTAATAACAAATGTTGGCAGAGTTGTGGGGAGAAAGGAACCCTTCTCCATTGTTGGTGGGAGTGCAGACTGGTGCAACCACTATGGAAATCAATATGGAGTTACCTCAAATAGCTGGGACTAGAGGTTCCATTTGAGTCAGCCATCCCTCTGCTGGGTATCTTTCCAAAAGTATTAAAAGAATCATATCACAGTGATATATGCGCACCTATGTTTATAACTGCAGTTTGTAATAGCTAAAACTTGGAAACAGCCCATTTGCCCATCAGTTGGAGACTGGATAAAGAAGATGTGGTCTTTCTATAAAGTGGAATACTACTCAGCCATAAAGAATGAGAAATTAGAGTCATTCAATAGAAATGGATACATATTGAGGATATACTCCTAAGTGAAATAAATAAGTCACACACATATAAATACAGAATAGTTTCTCTGGCATGAAAAACTATAATGGTACATAAGATCCTAATGATATAATTGACAATGTGAAATAGGAAGAAAGGGCTAAAGTTGTAGGGGAAGTGGGAAGGGTAGGAGAAAGGTAATAAGAGAAAAGAAAAAATTATGAGAAAATAGAAAAAAAGCTGTTTGTAAATGGGGAGGGGAAGAGGGGGTGAAGGAGGGCAGGGACGGGGAAAAATGAGCACCAAGACCTGTCATGTAAAGGTACAAGATCCCAATAATGAATGTAATTGTACTGTATACCTAAAATGTACCAATAAACTCAATGAGAGAAAAAAAATACATCAGAATACTTTTTCTGCAATAGAACATCCGTGCGATGTGATTCTGAGAATATTTTCCTTGGATATACACCATGTGGATAGTGTCATTATAGATGCTGTTACATGCTCGTCAGTGTGAAAGCCTCCTGCTCTAAATTCTGAAAAATTATGCAAACATTCACTTAAATATGTAAGAGTGTTTACAAAATAAGTGTAATTCCAGAGAGTAAATAAGAAAAATCATCTAGTATCAGGATGTAAGCAATCCAAAATGTGTGCTACTGCCAGGCATTCAGAGGTAACGCGAGTGATTGTGATTATGTGGTCTAACAGGACAAGATACAGAATTTTCTCATTAGGTCATCAGCAGTTAGGTGGTGGAATTGAGGTACCACATGAAGTAGACTGTTAAGGAGAGAAGAGAATTGCAGAAGAAGTGACAAAGGTGACAGTGAAGCCAGCCTGCTAACCTGCACACTGTAAAACTGCAGGTTTTCTTTCAATTACAATTTGACTTCAAATTTAACAAATGCTGTAATTTGATTATCTTATGTTAGTGCAAAAGAAAAGGGAGGTGGAAGTGAAAATTCATCTCAATAATCTCTTTTGATTATGTATATATGAGTGAGTATTTTTAAAATGCACAGCACTTCACAATGCAGTATCAAAACCAAACAAATACATGAGAACTCCAACACTTCATATATTGGATGACTACATATGTGTATAATAGAACATGATATATATTAAGGAAATAAAAAAAGACTTGTGAAATTTCTAAAATTGAAAAGCAAATTTGAAAGCCAAGTGTGGTGCCATACACACGTAATCCCAACACGGGAAGGCTGAGGCAAGAGGCTCACCAAGAGTTCAAGGCCAGACTGGGCTACATAGCAAGTCCATTTCTCAAAAGAACAAAATATATAAAAATAATTTTTAAAGTAAAATAAAAGCAAATTTGAAATCACATAAGTATTTTAAAATCATTGGATAAATTCTAGTTCTACTATGATAAAATTCACTCCTCATATTAATTTCAGCAAAAAATTTTGATACAATTTCTTCAGATCCTAAATGGGTGTGGTGGTGCATGCTTGTGTTCTAAGCACTCAGGAGGCTGAAGCAGAAGGATTCCCCTGATTTCAAGGCCAGCCTGGGCTCCATAGTGAGTTCAAGGCCATCCTGTATTACAAAATATGACCCTGTTTCTAAAAACAAAGGAAACAGTTTTTTCTTCAAAACCTGAGTGATGACCCTGAAAAATAAAGAAAAGCAGAGCAATTGTAAAAAGAGACAACAAATACAAATCTGTCTTACACAGGTGTTAGTTCATCACTCATTTTATCGCATGGATCTTTCTCTCCCTCTCATGTATGCCTTTCCCCATTAACAGAAATCACATTCCTTGTCGTCACAGGAAAGATCAGAACAGGCTTTTAAGGGCCAAATTTTCTGGGAGAGAATCCCAGAGAAGAGACAATCAGTGCTTTGCAGCAAAAGGCATCCTTATAATATCACTGCAGTGTGCTCTTAGCCATCTTTTTCACTGGATCTGGCACCCTGTGACTTCCATTCTTTCTCCAAAGTCAAAACAAACCTGAAAAGTTCACATTTAATGCATTCAAGATATTAAAGCAGCCATGACAGCATAAGAAAAAACATGAAATTATTTGTAAAGTGCAAAGAAAGTGAAGGGACCATTGTGAGGAGGATTCATGCTAAAGTGTCTTGTGCTGTAATAAATAAAAAATTTTGACACCCTCCCATTTTAATCTTAATTCATACATTGGGTTCATAAGTTAAAGAATATTTACTGAAAAAAAGAACTTTTCATAAAAAACTATCCAAATTGAAATTTTGGAATCAAAATAAATAGTATTTTAATGAAAATATTCTTAGGGTTAAGGTTTTATAGTATGATTTATAGTATGATTCCAAATAAATAACTAGTGATGCATCTCAGCTACTAAAAGAACAAGAACAAATCAAATACAAATATAGTGGAAGAAAAAAAATAAAACAATACAAATCAGAATGGAAGTTAATGAAATCGATATTAAAGGAAGTATACAAATTATCAATGACTCAGAGTTCATTCTTTGAAAGATAAAGTAGATTGATAAACCCTTAGCCAGACTTACCAAAAAAATTAAGTTAGGGCTTAAACAAGTTTTTCCTAGCCTTTGATAGTCTCCCTCACCTCAGATCATCCTCCTCCCTCACCTGTAGCTGTAAGTCCTTGTTCTGGTACAAATAAAATTTGTAACTATGACCAGAAAACAAAGTTAATGTCATCGTATTCTCAAGAGATTCCCAAGGCTCGGTCTTCCTTCAAGGCTGAATTACAAAATTGTCTGCCCTTTTTTCTATATATGCACTTACTCCAATCACTAAAAAGACCAACCCCTTTGACCAAATGTATAAAAACTAGAACGTTACTTTATTTGAGGCTCTTCCTTTGGACCTTAGTCCATTTAGCCAGTGTTCACCTAAAATAAAGTCCTCCTGTTTCCCAGTGGTCTGTCCTTTCTCTTAAATCAAATGAAAATCCCACTTTAATGAAATCAGAAAGGCAAAATTACAACAGATACAAATGAAACCCATCGGATTATTAAAACCTAACTTGAAAACTTATCCTGTATCCCAGTACATTGAAGAATCTACAAGAAATGGAGAAATTATTAGCACTACATGACCTACAAAAACTGAACTAAGAAGACTTTTAAATATCTAGCCAGATCAAAAACAAGGAATAAAGCTGAAATAATAATACAAACTCTCACAACTATGTAAGCTCAGGATAAATGAGTTACTGCCAAATTTTATGAGAGCATCAAAGAAAAATTAACACCAATATTCCCTTAACTTGTCCATTAGACAAAAGGCAAGCAATGTCTCTAGATATTTTTCCTATGGCCCAA